AGTCGTGTGTCTGGAGGTCGGTGGTTTCATTTAGTCGAACGCCGCTCTGTTTGGACAAACAGAAGTACACGTACGAACAAGATGGAAGTCCAGTGGTCGCGAGGTTGAGTGTCCAATTATAGTTCCACCCATTCCACCCATTCGACTATTATGCTCTTGCGGTTTCCACATGTTGCAAATCTTAATTAGAGACACACGACTCCACTGTGTGGTCTCTCATTCGGTAGTTTGTTCGACTTCACGAACAATATGTCCATGTTCTGTTCGTGAAGTCAAAATAGACGAACCAACTTAGTCTTTTACACAAGAAGTGGCTAGTTTTGCCACAGTCACTTCCATCTATGCTATGTAGCAATCTATTTCTATTTAGGTCTTTTTTAGTGAATATATAATTCAAGCATCTGAAGGATTAATGTGTTAAATGTCCTACTCTTGCATTATAATCACTTTTTCACAGGAGCAATTGTCCTCTCATCTGATTCTTTATATGAATTGGTCTGCCAGTACCCATATCCTTCTAAATGACTAAATAGATTTCCAAGTCCTGGATACCTTTCTAGATTCTAAAATATCTAGTTGTGTATGTGGCTATCATAAATGATATGGCTAGACCTGCTGCGAAATACATTACATAATGAGGCTTGTGTGACAGAGTATAAAGCAAAGATTTCTTTAGCACATTATCTACTAAATTATCCATACGAATACAAAAACAAAAATCAGAGTACTTAGGTTAGCTTTCCTAACCTGTCATCCCCGAAGTCTACCATAGATAAATTATTTGTTCAAATCCTAGTTTTCTACGCAACCTTGGAACTTACCAGCAACAAAGGAAACAATCAAGGAGGTGAAAAGTTGAAATGATGATGTTACAACTTATTTCCTACATAAAGGGACATTCCATTGCCATATAAAAATAAAGTAAAAACCGTGGTTTAGATATACACCCAATGAAAACTTGCATGAATTTAATTATGCATTTTTTTCCATTTCGGATATATTGAAAAAGAGCTTGAAGAGCTGCAGGTATCTTCTCATGCAGTTAAATGAGAAGTCTTTGGATGGCAGGTGCCTTGGACAATTGTTTGCCTCTCGAGGCAACCTGGAAGTAGCAGGACCAACTGTCTGATTGACAGCCAGGGGTTTTAACAAAGTTAATTTATAATAATGCAAATTCCTATTGAAATATGGACCAGGTGATAAAAAGGGGGCTGACCACTTAAATAGTTAGTTTAACACTATAGGGTCAGTAATATACATTTGTGTTCCTGACCCTATAGCATAACATTAAGCACTTTAGTGGTCCTTAAAGGACCACTATAGTGCCAGGAAAACAAACTCATTTTCCTGGCTCCATAAGGTCCCCCACCCCCAGCCTCTAGGTCCCCCTCCCGCCGAGCTGAAGGGGGAGGAAGGGGTTAAACTCTTACCTTTCGCCAGCACCGGGCGCTGGGGATTCTCCTCCCTCTTCTGAAGTCATCCGCTGAATGCACATGTGCGGCAAGAGCCGTGTGTGCATTCAGTCAGTCAGTCACAGTGAGAAGCGCAGAAGCGCTTCTAGCGGCTGTCAATGAGACAGGCACTAGAGGCTGGATTAAACCTAATGTAAACATAGCAGTTTCTCAGAAACTGCTATGTTTACAGTAGGCAGGGTTAACCCTAGATGGACCTGGCATTGAGTTCATTGAGCTGAAGTGGTCTGGGTTCCTATAGTGGTCCTTTAATCGGAGAGTGCTAAAAGTGACAGATTATTATCCTTTACAATAAAAAACAAATGCACCTGCTTTTCATTAGCAGAATATAATGCATGTTTCTCAAAACTCCCTCCTGGATAGACTTGCGGAAAGGCTGTATTCAGTTTTGTAAATACTCTTCTGACCAAGACATATTTTGGCTAACTATCTATGTACACATAAAGACCTTCCAGAGTACAGTAAGCTTGTCTAATTACTTTCAGGAGTCAGGCAATATCGGTGGAAAGGAAGTTTTCGGTTTCTGGCTGATATTTGTTTTTATACAAAGAGACATAAGCATTACTTTTTAATTTAACAAAGTGAAAAAATCAGTAAGGATATATTTAGAGTTATTTTTGTACTTCAGTAGTAAATGAGAGATAACACCGCTTGCAGCAGATGCAATATCAGAGAGCTGCAGCATATACGTTATTTCTTTCTTGCAGAGTGTAATAACAATTTTTAACTTAAAGTACTATTAACTGCTGGTGTAAACAGAGGTCTCAGCATGTCGATACCTGGTTTCATTAAATTCCAAAGACACGTGGAATTTCTCACAGGCATCGTAGATCAACTGAGTTGTTATTTTTTTTAAGTGTGTGACAGAATATAAATACTAACATATTAAATCACACATAGAAATAGTTTCATGAGTTAAGACATCTTAAGCTACTAGGTTCTGGAAGCAATTTGTGTATAATTGTTCCTGTGAGATGAAAACAATCCCATGGCTATTGAATGAAGGAAACATGTGATAATGCTATTTCTCGGAACTTCTCTCTCCAAGAAAAGTTATATAGCTACTACTTAAAGGAAAGCATGATGCTATGACAACTGAAACTGCCCTTTAAAACACAAGTTAAGAATTAAAGTGCAACTGAGCTGTGTTTTATGTTTTTATTTTAAACTTGTGTTTTGTTAAAGTATTTTAATATTTACCCCTTATTTCTGAGTATGCTCAGTATGTCTTCTATACCACCACTCAGGAGGGCACTTAAAATGTCAACAATCATCCATAATTTCTTTGATGGGCTCATAAATATTTATAAAGAAGATTGTTTGGGTTTTTTTTGCCACCAATGGTTGAACTCTGAACTGGTTGTCCTCTGAACTGTAAAAGCCAAAACCTATAACTTATATTGTATAGAGCCTTCAATATCCCAATCAAATATAAACATTTTAGTTTTCATGTATTCTACAGAATTAATCTAGTCTATAAATATATATATGGTGGTCATGCCCCAAGACGAGACAGGCGTGGCAGGAAATCTTTGAATTTATAGAGTTATGGACGTCAGTTAAGGTAAGCTTCAATCCTGCTACGGCACTACTCCATATTGGATGCAATGATTAGATAAAGATAAAATAAATTATAGAATTCATATGTTACTTGCTACAAAATTAAATATAGCTAAAAATTGGAAAGCTACCCATCCTCCAAATATCAGAGAAATAAAACTAATTATTAACCAATGTCAAATGGAACATGGTATAAATAGACATTTCAATACTAGTAACAAAAATGATCAAAGATGGATGACATGGATACAAAACATCAAAAATATTTAAGAATAAATAATGAAGAGAGAGAAGAAGGGAAGTTGAGTGTAGGAAAAACAGAAAGAAGACGGAGGGAAAGAGAAATAGATAAGGAAAAAGAGAAGTATTAAAGGGGAAAGGAAAAGAAAGAAGAGAGAAAAAGAGAAAAAGGGAGAGAAAGAGAAACAAAATAGAAGAGAAAATGCTAATAAAGGATCTTATGTTTTGCATGATAGTAATGTTTGTATTGTATGTCTATGTTTTGTATGTAAATGCAACTGATATTTTTGACTCACAAATGTAAAAACTATAATGAATACAGACTAATTTAGTTGATGATCTATATACATGTAAAATTATGTATACATCAATGAATATACAATAATGGAGTGTATGTCCACAAATTTTGAAAGCTTATAAAATTAATAAAGAATTCCAAAAGTAAAAACAGAACTATAGTCTATAAAGCCTCACTCACCCTTATTTATTTATACTCTACTTATGATACAGGGAAGCCACTAGTCACTGATATTCCGCCTGCCACTTTGCCATAAAAAATAAACACACCCTGCTTTCAAAAAGTACAGGAGGTTTCAATAAGTCATATTGTTCCTAAGGTCAGGGAGGGAGGAGTAGTGAATTTGACTGTCAGTATTACATTTGCATTCCAGAGATGGATAAAGATTGCTAAAGCAATTTTAAATTCCTTTATTTTATAATATGATTTAGCTGTGTTCACTGGGCATTATGCATAGATGCAGACATTCTTTGTACAGTTTGTTGCAATTTTTAGTAAGCTGAGCTGCCATATATATATATATACTTCATATAAGGTGAAAAAAAGTAAACTTAGCTTTATTCAGCAACTGCCAAGAGTGATCAACGTTTCAGTCCCATGTCGGGACTTTTGTCAGGATAACAGTGCATTACAAATGTTACAAAATAAATAACACACTTAATCATGTATATTGGATACAACTGAGACTTACCCAAGCTGCTACCTGGACGCCAAAAAATCGCGGGCAAAACTTGACCCTATTACATGTATGCAGCAGCTGTTGCTTCTGTGTAACCCCTGTGTTCCAGTGGTTGCCTGGGAACCCGCCAGGACGCAAGGGGGCATTTGTTTACATGTTGCCATGACGACAAGCCGATCGCAAATGTGATCGGTTATGCTATCGGTTCCAGGGAAGAGGGGACAGCATAGTGTACTGGTTACAAAATATGGTACAAATCATATAGCAGCAGCTAGCTCTTAATGGCACCAGGGTGTAGAGACAAACTAAACCGAAAATATAAATAAAAAATAGTTTAGCACTGCTGGTCTTCTATAAAGCATATGGATACTCTAATAGGTATTGCCTAAATATGTCTAATGTAAAAATATAGTTAGCAACTCAAAACAGCTAATGTAGTACTACTTAATATGTAGGAAATTTGTGCTGAGGCACTATAGGAGGGCTTAGCTGGTAATCTCTCTGGCATAAAAGGTGACTGGGTATTCAAGTCAGATATGAGTATACATATATGTAAGCTTTAAGTGTAAGGCATTTCCTATGTAGAGAAATATATGTATGATATTATTAACAAGGGGAGATATGCTGATGTCCACTGTGTAGGTTAATTGTGGACTAGAGATGTCGCGAACCGTCCACGAACTTCTCGTGAACGGTTCGCCACGGTTCGCCACGAGCTGTTCGCGGCGAACTCCGGTCAGCTGTCACGTCCCGGCCAATCTCCAGCCAATCTCCAGCAGACCCTCCCTCCCAGACCCTCCTACTTCCTGGACAGCATCCATGTTTCAACAGATAGAAACATGGATGCTGTCCAGGAAGTAGGAGGGTCTGGGAGGAAGGGTCTGCTGGAGATTGGCCGGGACGTATCAGCTGACCGGAGTTCGCCACGAACAGCTCGTGGTGAACTGCGGCGAAACGTTTGCGAGAAGTTCACGGACAGTTCGCGACATCTCTATTGTGGACTCTATCTGTTACTGACAAAATAATAGACAATACACCTGTACAGCATCAAATATAGTGGCTATGAATATTTAAGTCTCCATAAGACCAGAGGGCACACAGGGGGCCCGAGCTTGAATAAGTTAGAATGTCCAAGTGCCCAGCTAAGTATAGCTGGGTACATAAATCATAATCGAAAAACGAACACCATAATCCAGTAAATCAAAAAAACACACAATCTCGAAAATAGAAAAATCCAAAAAATGTCCAACGGCTTATAGGGATAAACCCTACATAAATCTAATGTCAAGGTGTATCCTTACAGGAAGATACCAAGAGTATATGTTTCATTTAAACCCTTGGGCTGCACAGTGTCCAGAGTCCTAATCCAATGTAGTTCCCTCTGTAGTAGGATTTTCTTACGGTCCCCGCCTCTCGTTGGTGGTGGGATATGATCAATCGCTATGAACTTCATAGATGGTAGGGGATGGTTGCTTTCCCAAAAATGTTTCGCTACGGGTTGTTCTGAGCCTTTGTCTCTATATGCAATTCTTATACTTGACCGGTGGTTGCACATTCATTCTCTTAGCGGTAAGTCAGTTTTTCCCACGTATGCCAAACCGCACGGGCAAACCAGTTTATACACCACATAGTCACTGGTACACGTAAGTCTGTGCCTAATGGTGAACGTCTTGCCAGTGTGTGGATGGGTAAACGTCTTGCTTGGTCGCATATGACTGCATGTTACACATCCCAGACACCTGTAACATCCCAGATTCAAGTGGGGTGAGGGTTGATTATAACAATGTGTTGGATCGGTCTTGACCAGTAGGTCTCTTAGGTTCTTGGTTGTTTAAACTGACACGGTAGACTGGTGTCATTAAGCATCATGCGCCAATTCTGATTAACAGATTCTTGAATGTGGTCTGATATTGTAGTGTACGTCACGGGAAATATCAATCTTTCCTCCTTGGGCATCTGTGTTGATGGTTTTTCAAAGCATTTATTCAAGGCTTTCTGCAGGATAGTGGAACTGTATCCACGGGCCAGGAACTTATCCCACATTTGGTTAATCTGTAATTGAGTATTTACTTTGTTGGAATTGTTCCTAATGACTCTCATGAACTGGGATTGTGGTAAAGAGTTTTTTAAATGCCTCGGGTGGTAGCTATCCGCATGAAGGATAGTATTCCTATCTGTAGGTTTACTGTACAAAGTATAGGCTATTTTATCCTGTTCTTTATAAAGTCGTACATCGAGAAAGTCTATGGTTTGATCATTAGTGGTCATGGTGAGCCGAACCGGTGTGTTCAAGCTGTTGATGGATTCTAGCATTTCTTCCGGTGTTGGTCCTTCTTTTCTCCAAATCATTATGATATCATCGATAAAACGACGGTAAAAGAGTATATTGTCATGGAATGGTGTAAGGATGTGCTCCTGCTCAAATATGTACATAAAACTGTTGGCGTACATTGGTGCCATCGCTGCTCCCATTGATGTTCCAGTGATTTGCTGGTACCATGTGTGCTCAAACCTGAAGTAGTTTTGGTTAAGTACTAAGTATAGTAACTCCAAGATGTATTCTACTGGTGGTCCCGTATAGGAGGGTGATGTTGTCAATATTTGCCTCATTGCCTCAATGTCAGTCTCATGAGGTATAGTTGTATATAAGTTTTTGACATCGCATGTGATGAATGTTACTCCTACTTCTAAGTTAGTGAACTGTTGTAGTTGTGCTAACAAGCTTGGCGTATCTTTGATGCATGTTTTTAATTCCTCAACTGGTTTCTTAAATAAGAAGTCTAGCCATTTGGCTATAGGTTCCAATACCCCACCTATTGCTGAAACAATAGATCTGCCTGGAGGTAAGGTAGGATGTTTGTGTATCTTGGGCAGTGTATATATCACTGGCGTTCTAGGTTTCTTTTGTAAAAGATACTCATACAGGTCCTGTGTAATATAGTCCACTTCAAATCCACGTTGTAACGTTTGTTGAATCTTGAGCATAATTGTCTGTGTGGGGTCAGCTGGAAGTATCTGATAGGTAGTAGTATCTTCTAGTTGTGTGAGGATTTCTTGTCTGTAGTCACAATAGTTCATCAGGACAATACCCCCACCTTTGTCTGCCGGGCGTATCACCAGATTCGAGTCCTTAGCAAGTGAGGTAATGATTTGGCGTTCTTGTTTTGTAATATTAGATCTTTGTTTATTGCCATGAGTTAGATGGTACTGTGTTTCTTGGTTTAATGATTTCAAGAAAGTTTTTATGGTAGATTGGTTGGGCAATGGATCCCAGGTGCTTTTAGGTTTAAAATGATTTATTAGGGTATTCATTGGGGTGTTAGTCTTGAAAAAGTCCTTGAGTCTTAATGTTCTCCCAAATTTATAGTTTTCAATTTCTTGAACAAGAGGGACCGGATAAGTCGTAGGCACAAAAGATAGCCCTTTCATTAGCAAATGGTTCTCAGCGTTGCTAAGTTTACGTCTACGTGTAGACAGGTTGAAAACTGGAATCACCTCCGCCGTGGTGGTCTCCCTCTCAGAACGGTATATGCCGCCTCTCTGTCCTCGTCTTGTGATGTGGCGTTTGGATCTTGATCTTGTCTGGCCCATTGTCTTGTGGTGGTTCCTATAGGTGTAGTACCTCTCTCTAAAAAATGGCTTGATGATTGAGCCTGTTCTGGTCTTTGTTGGGTATCAGAATCTGAAGTAGATTCCCCTGAAGTTTTATCGATTGTGAATTGTTTTGGTTTACGAATGGGCCGTCTGTTCCTTGCAAAGCGTGGGATTTCGTTCTGTCCGCTAAGCCACCTGTAAACCCTGTGTTCAGTGTAGTCCCTACTCACTTTTTCTTGTTTCTCATGTTTGAACCTGATGAGGTCTGTCTTTTATATTCTGTTCCAGTCTCAATAGGGTAGGGGCTGCCTCAGTAGATGTCAGGAGTAAAGCTTCTTTTGCTTCTAATTGTGTGATCCTTTGTCTGATTTTAATCAGATCTTCTTTCACATCTTCTATTATAATGAGTATAAGATCCAGGGAACACTTATTTAGGACTGCTATCCACTTCTTGCAGACTTAAGGTTTTGCACGTCCTATAGTGGGGATGTTCTTTATTCTAAATCCCCTAGGAATCTGCAACTGCCTGTGGTAATCCGACAGGAACAAGCCGTGGAGGTCTAGATCCATTTCTTTCTTTTTCAAACGTGTCAGTTCCAGGTATATTTCCTTAAGTGTGGTTGTTTGTGGAAGGTCTGTAGTCAGAGATTCCCACGTGATGCGGTCTGCGTCTTCCTCTGTGTATTGGAAGATTTCTGCTTGTTCCAATAAACCTCCTGCTTGGGAAAAAAAATCTTCCATAGATTCTCCTTGCTCAGTGAAAGCACAATATACAAAAAAAGATAATCATGTATAGAAAAGTGTAATACCAAGTACTGTCTATATCAACACTGCACACCTTGCAGGTTCAAATATTTAGTGTCCTTGTAAAGACCTGTAACCAAGGTGTTTGATCATTTTACATATTGTGTTTTGTCACACAACTACTGTATGTGTAAAAATGCTTGGAAGCTATTGTGCAACATGTGATATTGAGTATCGTGAATCTTTAAATTGCCTTGTGAGCATAATTGATTTTAGTAGCAATGCACACATTTATGGCGCTTTGATATTTGATGTGTGTATTTAGTGCAAAAGCCTATTTCAACAAGTATGTTAGAAACTACATAACAAGCCTTTGACATTTATTCCAAAATTAATTTTCCACAAGTAGGATTAATGTGGAATTTCTTAACACATATCTGAGTTCAAGATGGGTTAAATAGCTGGAAAAATATTAATTTCTGCTATACCCTAAATGCAAGTCTGTTGCACCATGACCTAGGACAATTAAACTATTACTTCCATGCTATCTTAAATCGGGTATAGTTTAGAAATTAACTGATTTGATAACTATAACGAGTCAGCTATTCCCTAAACACTGGCTTTGTGTTTTTTTTTTTAATTATGCCTGGCTAGTATGTTCCAGATCTCCATACTTGTGCAAAACAATGCAATTAAATATTTTCATTAGTGGTTTGCCTGTACAACCCTTTTTTTTTTTTTAAACAATCTTTCTTTTAAAAGAGTTTAGATTTTATACAGTACATGGAAAAACTCTAAACTCTTGGGTAAAACACTTGGGTAAACTCAGCATTGAAATATAACATCCATAGGTCACAATTCACAGTGTGAATTTAAATAATTAACGTAACATTCCCATACTAAAGCTTTTAAGTAGTCGGTACTAGCTCAGTAAATTTATATGTGGTAGATTTACGAAGGATTTATGATGGCTGTTTTAACCAGAACATTGAGAGAGGTATGTGTATGCAAACAGTAAAAAAAGGAAAATCTGAAAAAGGAATGAGAAAAACAGGAAGAGCAGTGGGGAGAGGAGATGAGGAAACAGCATGTAAACACTATCTTTACCGTAGCATTGCTCCTCATCAATAACTGGCAAATATTGGATAGATAGATTTTTTGGATAAACTTTGAAATGTATTTAAATATTAAAAATATTAAAAAAATATATATTTTCATCCAGTAAAATATATTTATTAGTAAGAAGTTATTTACAAATACTGGGACTGTGCATCTCCTTGGCATATCACAAAGCAAACTATTAAAATATGAGGAATATATATATATATATATATATATATATATATATTCCTCATATTTTAATATATATACATACATATAACCCCATTGTACAAAGCTACAGAATTTCTTAGTGCTATATAAAAAATAAAATAAAATAATAATAATATATATATAAAATTAATACAATGTTAAACAAAAATCTGCACACCAGTCAAGCCATAAGACTTGCTTTTCCCACAGAAATCCCATAACTGTAGCGATGTTACAATCGCAAAGGATTCTGGGTGGGCG